CTCTAGAGCTAATGTCCATCTCTGGGAAATAACACAGGATAGAGAAGTATATTAAAAGATATCATGGAGGATCCCTGGGTGGCCCAATGGTTTGGCACCTGCCTTTGGCCCGGGGCGTGATTCTGGGATCCCAGAATCGAGTCCTGCATTGGGCTCCCAGCATGGAGCCTGCTTCCCTCTGCCTGTGTCTCTGCCTCTCTCTCTCTCTATGTCTATCATGAATAAATTAATAAAAAAATCTTTAAAAAAATATCGTGGGCTAGTGATGTGGGACACACTAGAGAACACTTCATCTGTTTTGTTCAACAAATAAATAGGATGAAAAAGGCGGAGGAGAAAGGGAAGAAAGAGGAGAAACAGGAGTTGGAAGGAATGTTCTACATTAAAACAAACTTAGGAGACATTAAAACCAATATGACATGTGCACCTTGCTTGCATTCTGATTTAAACAAATCAGCCATAAAAGTTATGTTTGAGATAAGAAAAATAGGATACAAATAGAATATTAGATGTTAAGAAATTACTGTTAATTATGTTAGATATGACAACAGTATTGAGATTATGTGAAAAAATGTCCTTATTTCTTTGAGATACATACTCAAGTATTTAGGGGTAAAATGTGACATGCATTTGGATTTACTTTAAAGATGTTTTTTTTTATTTGAGAGAAAGAGAGAGCATGTGCAAGCGCGTGCACATGGTGGGAGGGAGAGAAAATCTCCAGCAGACTCCCCCTGAGCGCAGAGCCCCATGTGGGGCTCCACCCCACAACCTATGAGATCACAGCTTGAGCTGAAATCACCATTCAAAGGCTCAAACAACAAGCGACCCAAGCGACCCTCACATTGGATTTACTTTAGAATATGTCAACCAGAAAAAGGATGGGGGTATACAGGAAGGAAGTGTTGGACAATGTTAATTGTTGGGACTTTTCATGTATAATATAAATAAGTTCCAGGGATCTAATGTACAGCATGGTGACAACACCTAACAATAGTGTATTGTATACTCGAAAGTTGCTAAGAGATTAGAGCTTTTTTTTCTTGCTGAATTCTGCTCACTCTCCCCCTGCCCAAGTTCTATTGGCATGCAGCACAATATAAGTTTATGCTGTTGGCATAATGATTTACCTTAAATATATCATGAAATGATGACCACAATAAGTTTAGTTAACATCCACCATCTCATATAGATACAAAAAAAAAAAAAAAGAAAATGAAAAAATTTAATGTTCTCACCATAACCACCACCACAGAATTGTAATTGTGTGAGTAGAGAATGTGTTAACTAATCTTATCATGGTAAACATTTTGTAATATATATCACATATTGTGATGTATCAAATCATCATATTGGGCATCTCAAGCTTACACAGTGTTATAGGTCAATTATATCTCAACAAAGCTGGAGAAAAGTGTTAATTGTTGAATCTGGGAGATGGGTATACAAGGCTTCATAAAAGTACTTACTATTCTTTTTTAAAAATATTTCATTTATTTATTTGAGAAAGAGAGGGAGAGCATGAGTGAGCTGGAATGGGAGGAGAGGCAGAGGCAGAGGGAGAGGGAGAGGCAGGCTCCCCACTGAGCAGGCAGCCCGATGTTGGACCCCATCCCAGGACCCTGAGATCACAACCTGAGCCAAAGGCAGATGCTTAACAGACTGAGACACCCAGGCGCCCCAGTACTTACTGTTCTTTTGTGTAGTTTTGAAATTTTTATGATAAAATATTTAACAAAAAGCAACAAATTTGTTCTTGAAACTTAAAAAAAGATTATTACATTCGTCGGGAAGAATGGAATCCTTGTGCCATGGACAACTGAAAATGTAGATTAGCAAGGGGTGATGAACACTACTAGTCACTAAGATGTATTGTGAAGCTTTACTTACAAAAGTAGTACTGGCAAAGGAATAAATAGCCAAGGGGGAAAAAAAAACACAGAAAACCTGGAAACTGCCCCTATTACAAATAAGACTTCAGTTTTTTATAAAGTTCTGAATTCCAAGCAATGCCAAAGTTTGAATTACTCACTAAGCCGTACCAGGGCAGCTGCTTAGTAACTTCGAAAAAAGGTATTTCTATATGTCACACTCGCTATCCCAACATAAATGTCAGATGGATTAAAGAATTAACATGTTTTTCAAAAACACAAAAGAATTATAGGTAAATACAGTGAATATTTATCTGACATCAGAGTCAAAAAGACTTTTTTCAGCATAAAAGCCGAGGAAGGAAATATAAAAGAGTGGTTTGACAATTCCCCAAATTTAAAACTTTGGTACAAAGCAAAAACAAGGAAACTGATATTTGTAGGATGGGATTAAAATAAGCATTTATCAAGCTTATCTCATTCAATCCCCAGAACAATCCTATAAAATAAATATTATCTCTATTTTGTAGATAAATAGATTGAAGTTTAAAAAAAGTTAAGTGACCTGTCCAAAGTCACACAGCTAGAACCTGGTGGCATTAGGATTCAAACTCAGGTCTGCCTGACTCCAGTTTACATCTGCTAACCATTTTACCATACTGCCTCTTGTGTATGACAAGTTAGTATCCCTAATATATAAACAGCTCTTACAACTCAACAATAAAAGTATCCCCAATAAAAATGGGCAAAGTGCAAAAACAGGCAATTCAAAAACAAAATACAGCTGTTCAGTATAAACAGATGAAGAAATGCTCTTTCACTAATTTCAGAGAAAGGCAAATTAAAATGAGATACTTTTCCATTGGCAAAGACTTTATATACTTCTCTTTTAATATCCTGTCTTGCTTTGGTGAGTGTATCTGTTAAGGATCTTTGGTTGCAAGCAGCAGCAACTGAATTTCAGACTGTTCTTTTTATAGCCTCCTGCCTCCTAGGTTTGGGATTTGCATGGAGGAGTGGGCTGGTGAGAGAAGAGTCCAGTTATTCAAACCTGAGTCAAGTGCCTTCACTTGTGACAGGAGAAGTACTTGGGGATTGGCAGTCAACCAGAATTACAGGACTCAGGAGCAATGACTTCACAAAGGGAAGAGATATTTGGCAGACAAAGGCAAGAGACCTCTGCTGCAGGTAGAGGTAGGTAGAGGCTCTCATACACTCATTAACTTCCTTTCTGAAATGCAATTTGACCAGATATTCAAAACCTGAAAAGCAATCGCTCCTTTTGAACTAGCATTTCTTTTTATTTGTGTGGGGTTTTATTTTATTATTTTTGAAAAGATTTTATTTTTAAGTAATCTCTCCACTCAGTGTGGGGCTCAAACCCACAACTTCAAGACCAAGAGTCACACACTCTACCAGCTGAGCCAGTCAGGTACCCTTGTTTGGGTTTCTAAAAATTGATTTTTAGTTTTGAGTTTTCTTATTGCGATAGAATTGACATATAACATTGTATTCGTTTCCAATGTACACATAATGATTTGATATTTGTATATATTGTGAAATGCTCACCAAAATAAATTTGGTTAACATCCATCACCACAGAGTTATCAACTTTTTTGTGTGTGTGATGAGAGCTTTTAAGATCTATTCTCTTAGCTACTTCCAAATATGCAATACAGTATTATTAATGGTAGCCTCCACTCTGTCCATTACATCCCTAGGACTTATTTTTTTGTAACTGGAAGTTTGTATCTTTTGACTGACCTACCATTTCTACTTTGACAAATTTGAACTAAGAAAATAGAGATGTGACCCAAAGTGTACATACAAAGATTGTTGTCACAGTTTTATTTGAGTGAGAAACAAACTGGAAACCTATGTTTCATAATTGGAAACTTTATGTTTTAGCATATCAGTCCTACAAAATACCATGTAATCATTAAAAATGATGGTATTGTAGGATACTTCAAGACACAGGAAAACGTCTACAAAATCATCTCAGTTGAAAAAGCATTTATTCAATATACATGTATAGTTTGTAGTCAGGAAAACTACATAAAACTCTCCTCCTATTGCAAAAGAAACATCAGATTATAGAATATAGGGTCCCTCCTTTCCTGAGAGCTTAGAAGACAGTACAAGGGATTCTGGTTAAACCCAGTGAAGAACTTTCCGACTGTGAGGATTGTCCTGGAACGGAAACCCCTCCTTTCTTAGGGTCAGATGAAGTAATGCCTTGCTTCCAAGACCCAGTAATTAATAAGGATCATGGGTCATGGGGAGGCAATGATAGAAGTTCCAACTTAGTTGGGAATCAGCTGTGGGTCCTTGAGCCAGTCCCCTCCCACCTCTGGCCTATTGTTTCCCCATCTGGGAAGGTGGCAAGGATGGTCTTGACCTCCTGCAGTCTTGGTAAGGTACTATGGTTCAGTGGGGATCTCTGTTTGGGGCCCCCTACGACCCTGAGCCCCCGTACCTCATCCACCAAATGCAGGAGCCAGATGATGTGAAATCTAAACTGCAGCCCTTGCCTGCGGTGACTTTTTGCTCAGGATCTCTTAGGGCCAGGGAAGGGGTCCCAAAAGCCACCTACATCTGCTGCGACTGGAACCTCAGCCAAACAACCACCCTGACAGCTGAGCCAGTCCTAGGCAAGGGGAGGTTCTATGATGCCACAGGAGGTGATTCACCAAAGGCAGGGCGGTCTCTCTCCCCCATCCACAGAAGTCCTGGAGGAGAGGCCACAGTTGGCCCCACTCACAGGGCCTGCCTGGACCCACATTCTCCAGCAGGGAGCTCTGACCTTAACCCTACTGCCTCCTAGGCATCCGGGACTCCGCCACCCCCTCCTTGCCATTCACAGCTGACTTCTGTCCCTTGCCTAAGCCATTGCTGGGGCTTCAAGACCTTAGAGAGTCAGGAAAGGGATTATCTGTCCCAACAACCTTCATTTATTCAGAGAAGAAAAACTGAGGCCCGAGGAAGGAGCAGACTGCCTGAGATCAGAGCCTAAGTCAACAATACAGGCCGAACCGGATCCCAGCCCCCGACACCCAGCACCTGCTCCCACCCATCAGTTCTTGCACAAGCACACTTGCACTGAGGCTCCTGGTTGGGGGTGGGGCCAGGATGAGGCAAACATGCACCATTCCATCCACCTCTTCTTCCTCCCCTGACTCAGCTACTCTAGCCTCCCTGGAGCTGCAGGTGTTAATTTAGGGACCCCTGGGCCCTGGCCTCATTAAGTGCCGGCAGAAACATGAGGGCCTGGAGCCTTCTCGTCCTGGTGGCCCTCCTGGCTGTGGGGAGCCGGCTGCCTGTGGCCTCAGCCAGGAGGAAGGGAGGTGAGTGTGGCTAGTTTCCTCTGATCCAAGGACTGGGTTGGGGTTTGGGGAAGGCAAGCCATGCAGTGTGACGTCTGTGTGTGTGTAGCTGGGAGGCCTGCTTCGTGATGCTTCCAGCAGCTCCAGGTCTGGGCTGCCAGCCTGCCCTGTCTGTAGCTGTGGATGTGTTCATGCCAGCTTCTTGGTGCTCGTCTGTACATCCGAGTGTGGATTGTGTGTGCATGTGTGTACGTGTGTATCTTTGTGTCTGCTTGTCTGTATGAACCTGTATCTGCAGACATCGGTTTAGGCGTGGCTGCACACATGTGTGTCTGTGTGCCCGTACCTGTGTGTCTCTACAGGAGGAGGGGGGAGCAAACCTGTCCACACCTGCTCTTCCGTTGTTATCTCCATGGATTATTAGGATCTGTGGGCCCGCATGACAGCGAGATGAGCCTTCCTGTCATCTTCTGTTGCTAACAAGGCTGTGTCTGGTCCGCCCCTGTCCATCTGCTTTCTGTCTTTCTCTGGTCTTTCCCATCCCAGAGACCAATCTGTGCAAGGTTCTCCCAAACTGGGTAGGGGGTGTGGCTGCCAGGATCTGTTGGGAGGCAGCTTCACCCCTATCTCTCCTCTCCCAAGCCTCCTCAAAAAGCTGGGGCTGACCTGTCAATAGGTTGCGGGGGAGGATGGGACTGCTGAGAAGCTACACAGGTGACTCCCCTCCTGGGCAATGCCTCTCTTCCTGCCTTTTTGGGGCTGGAACACTGTGACCCACACACCCGGCCTACATACACCTGTGCATTCCTGGCTATGCCCTGCGGGAAGGGGACAGTAATGGAGACAGGCTCCCTCCTCCACAGGTGCTGGGAGTAGTTCTGTGCATCCTCTCTGCCCCCTCTCACCTAACCTATGCCTTCCTCAGAGGCTGGGCTCTCATTCCCTGGGGTGTGAGCTGGTTTGGGCAGGAGAGTGTTCAGGCCTAGGCTGAGGAGAAAAGGATACTGGCAAGTTCCAGGGCCAGAGCCCTACTGGGTATGATTCAGGTGCCCTCACTGCATTCCTCCTCACTGAGATGCTCTGAGATTGGTACCATTATTATCCTATATTGCAGATGAGAAAACTGAGCCACTTGAAATGCCAGTTCTGACTCTCTTCCTGTCTGTCTATTCCTCAAGGCTCAGCTCCCAGCCCCTCCACCCAGAAGCTCTCCCGGTTGTATGACCAGGTCCCCCACACACCACCCCAGCCCACAGGGAGGTGCCTCTTTGACTCAGGCAACTCCTCGGGCTCACTCCCTGAGGCCCAAGCAGCTTCGAGCACCTTCTGCCAGGGCTACCCTGCTGGATCTCGGAGCCTTCCCAGGGTCCCCCTACCTCCAGCCTGTGGAGGAGGGGCTCCTCCTCCCAGGTGGCTCCTTCCCAGACTAGCTGCTCTTTCTCCAGCAGGGGGCAGCAATTCAGTTTAAAACAACCCAGTCAGGGATCCCTCGGTGGCGCAGTGGTTTGGCGCCTGCCTTTGGCCCAGGGCGTGATCCTGGAGACCCAGGATCGAATCCCACGTCGGGCTCCTGGTGCATGGAGCCAGCTTCTCCCTCTGCCTATGTCTCTGCCTCTCTCCCTCTCTCTCTCTGTGACTATCATAAATAAATAAAAATTTAAAAAAAAAACCTAAGAAAGTTTAAAAAAAAAAAAAAACAACAACCCAGTCAAATGGGTGAAGCTGGTTTTGAGTGCTTATTGCATGAGTAAGGTGCCTACTATGTGCATGGCCAGCATCCAGTCAGGAGCCAGAGAGGGAAGGTAGACACCAGGTAAAGTCATAACATGTATCCAGCTGCTGCTGCTGCGGGTTCTAGAAACTTCACTCAGATGCTAAAGTGAAGGCCTGGGACCAGCCTCCACCCTCCCCAGGGCTCTGGTGGCCAGAGCAGAGGGGCTGGAGGTCAGAGGACTCAGAGTCCTAGCGTAGGCCCCTGTGGGTCTGGACATTAACTGTCCTTCCAACCTTTGACTTCTCGCTCTAACTGGAAGAAGATTCAAGCCTTCTGCATGAAATCTGGAAATGGCCCAAAATTCTAACAAGAAAAATGGCTAGATAAGCTCCGGAACAGAACATTCTAGAGCTGTCAGAGTACCACCTCAAAGATCGAATTACTACAGATCCCTGACACAAGGCCACTTGCAGCAGGACAAGCACACAGTGCAAGTGTGGCTCACAGTGCACCAGGCTTGTGATGCTGGATTGCCCTTCAAAATCCTTTCTTTCAAAGAGTCGTTGAGCTGCTGGTGTTTTGCATCAAGGACTGTGCATCAGTCTAATGGTGAGAGAAGCAGGTGGGGGGAAGCCTATTCTCATAGCCTCCAGCCAAGGGAGAGAAGCAGACAAATAGATGCAGAGTCACAAACTCTGAAGGCAAGAGTGCGAGGAGGGGTGGGGGCCAACCTAGTTAGCCTGAGGTCAGAGAGGTAGGGTCTCCCAAGGATGCGGTGTTTCCACTGAGACCTGGTAAATGGGGTGGAGAAGAGAGCACCAGGCGAAGCACACAGCAAAAGCAAGTCCCCACGAAGAGAAGCAGCTGAAAGCAGAGCAGGAGCTACAAATGGAAAAGATGTTGAGGATAAAAACAGAGAGGTGGGCAGCCCCAGACCAGGCATGTCCTGCTGGCCCAGGTACAGATGTTGAACTTCATTTTTTGCTATCCTTCATGTCATCGGAATCTCAAACCAGCCCCGTGAGATAGGAGTCCAGCTTCTCATTCCACAGAGAGAAAACTGAGGCTTGCAGTCCAAAAAAAAAAAAAAAAAAAAAATGACCAGCCATTTGCAACGACATGGATGGACTTTGAAGATGTTACACTGAGGGAAATAAATCAGCCAGACAAAGACAAATACTGTATGATCTCACATTGGATTTTTAAAAAATCCAAACAAAACAAAAAACCAGCTCATAGATACAGAGAAAAGACTGCTGGTTGCCAGGGGGCATGGGCGGGAGGTGGGAGAAGTAGGTGAAGGGAGTCAAAGGAACAAACTTCCAATTTTAAGAGACATAAGTCCTGAGGATATAATGTACAGCATGGCAGCTGTAGGTAGTAATACTATATTGCAGATTTGAAACTTGCTAAGAGAAAAGATCTTAAAGTTCTCGACACAAGAAAAAAATTTGTAAGTATGTATAGGGACAGATGTTAACTAGACTTGTGGTGATCATTTATATATCACCAATATATAGAAATACCAAATCATATTGTTGCACACCTGAAGCTAACATAATGTTAGGTCAATTATACCTGAATAAAAAATATAAATGAAAGTAAATAAATAAAAGCAACTCCAGGCCCCCCAGAAAACAAAAACAAAGAAACTGGCCAAAGGACAGGCAAGAAGTAAGGGGTAGAGAATTCAGATCTTGTGATTCCCAGATTGGTGCTTATTACATGAGTCGGAACTGCCTCCAGCTGCAAGATTTGGGGGGTTCTCTTACAGAGAAATCTGGGGGCTGCCCGCCGGACGATGGGCCCTGCCTCCTTTCGGTGCCTGACCACTGCATGGATGACAGCCAGTGTCCTGCAAGAATGAAGTGCTGCTCCAAAGCTTGCTTCCGCCAGTGTGTCCCTATGATCTCTGGTGAGTATCCCTGTCACCCCTGCTGAGCACCCAAGCCCCGAGCCCCAGGGCTGGGCACAGACAGGGCTCACCAGGCCCCTGTGTTGCAGTAAAGCCGGGCAGCTGCCCTGAGGACCGCCTGCAGTGCCTCAGCCCCGTGCAGCATCTGTGCCACAAGGACGCAGACTGCAGGGGCTCCAGTCGTTGCTGCCTTGGCGCCTGCGGCCGAGACTGTCGCAACCCCATCCAAGGTATGGTTCCTATGCACCTCGGGGCAGGTTCTTTCCTCTCTTAGCCCTGGCATTAGACTCCTTCCAGTTCAATAAACCTAACAGGACACCTACCTTCCCAGGAGCCTGGAGCTGCCCATGTCAGGCCTGGGGAAGAGGATGGGGTAGGAGCGTTGGAGGAACCGTGGAGGAACTGGCGATCCTCCTTTCTCTTGCTGAACTTGCTATGTCACCTGGACCACAGCCCTCCACTGCCCTGAGCTTCAGCTGGCCCTTGTGAAGCAGGGCGGGCCATCCTGCCTTACTGGGCACCAGGGCTGGGTTGATGTGGTAGACGGGGATCAAAGTTTCTCAAGAACCCAGAGCCCTGTGATGCGGGTGTAATCCTTTCCTTCTCTCTCTCCAGGCTAATTCTGGCTTCAGATCTTCAGGAGGGGTTCCTAGCAGGAAGAGATGATGATGGGGGCCTGGGACCCTGCCACCCAGATAGCACTATCTCTACCCGAGGCAGTTTCAACCTTCTGATGAATACCGATCTGCTGTCACTTCCCTTGCCACCCATCCATCCACCCCTGGTTTCTCCTCCTGGGAGTCAAGGTGCACAGATAGACTCCTATCACCCTGTGCCACAGCCACATCTCTTTGTCTATGTGTTTCTCCACCTAAAATGCCCAATTCGGGTAGGCCCCTCTTTGTGGGGTCCAAACCCCTCCATCAGGCAGCCCAGCCACCTTGAAGGTACGTTCTAGCAGAGTTTTCCAGACGTGATCTGTTCGCATACTCCTTTCCACCATTTTTACCACACCCTCAAAACAGCATCACAATATCTTGCTTACTGCCCTTACTACTGTTTATCTAATGTTTTTCTTTAAATGGAATCACTTTTGTATATAAATAAATCTATTTCAAAAGAAAATCTTGATATCATCAGTATAAATGCATACGCAGGATCACTTGCCATGAATAAAATGTAATGGTAAAAGCAAATGCAGCAAAAACAGCGAAGGGCTGTTAAAGGAGATGTGTCAGATTAAACAATATTAAATAATAGTATTAAATTCTACCTGGATGCTGCCACCTGCCAACACTGGGAACCTACCTGAAGGCTGCTCTCTGACTCTGGTAATAAACGAAGATTAGCAAGGGTTAAAGACTTGTTAAAGACACAGATCTCAAAACCGTGGCCTCCTTCCTGGGATAATCAGAAGGACCGAGGAGAGAACTTTCTCAAGAGTCAATGTTGTATAATTTTGCATCCAGGTACACCCTAAGATCATTTCAGATTGCTCCACATGTGGGGAATGTTGCTTGAACAGTTGGGATAGCTTTATTTATGGGAGAGTCTGTCTCCCATTGGGTGATACCTCATTCACCTGGATTCCTCAAGGATCAGGCTGTAGTCAGGGCCCGAGAGGGCGGGGAAGGGGTCAATGAGGGAATGACGGCCATCCCAAGGGACATTCCTGGACCCAGAGTGCTGGATTCCTGACTGTCCCATTCATCTAGGACTCAGCTTTGGGGAGGGGCAGGATCCAGGCAGATTCCTCCCTGCTTTATATGCTGGGTTTCCTCTCGTGTCCCAGTAGAATCTGGGGTTGGGCGGTCCACCAAGCAGGTTAAGTTGGGAATCCTGGGTCTTCTGTCCTTGTTCCCTTGACCTGGCAGTATGGTCACAGGCAAGTTACCACTCAGGGATTCTGTTTGCCCTGGTGGAAGTTGGAAAGAATTCACTGCCATAGTCCTTCTCATGGGGTTCAAGTGGCTGAACTCAAAGCAGCAGGTGCTAATTGTAAGGATACATGCTGAGCCCTAAGAGAGGAGGGGCAGGAGAATAATCTGTGAGTCACTGACTCCCTGCTAGTCTCCCATCTATAAACTCAGGTGGTCGACACAGATAATAGGGTACATTGTACTGTTTGCCCAGAGATACCCCTTCCCTCCCCACTGTTACTATGGCTTCCCTGGGGGAGAGCATGCATTCCCTTGCCCAGGGATTTAGGGCTTGGCCCTGGGACTTATGAAATGTGGGTGCAAGTGACAGTGTGCCAGTTTCAAGGCAAGGCACCAGCCTTCTTGGAGCTTCTGCAATGAGAAGCGCTTGCCCAGAGGCCACTGGTCTTGGGATAAAGGATATCCGGGGCAGGCCTGAAATTGAGCTGCCGATCCTTTAACTTGCAAGAGCAAAATAAATGTTTGTGATAGGAAGCCAGTGAGATTGGGGGTGGGGTGGGCATTTGTTATAGATTTATGGCAGTGAGAGATTGTTGAATTCAGATGATTGCTACTCTTTAGTGAATGCCCATTCTGTGCCTCACACTCTAAAACATCATTTCACTCATCCATCCTATAACTCTGAGAGAGATGGGCATTCTTATTCCCATTTGACAAGGAGAACTTTTGATATAAGTGACTTGCCCAAGACTCTTGGTTAAGAGGTGAAGAAGCCAGGATTCAGCCATACTGTATTCCACTTTAACAACTAATAAAATCAACAACAGCTGAAATGAAAGCACTGATCCTGTCCAGCTGTCACTTTAATTACTTTACACATATAATCTCATTACATCCTTACAACCTCACTATGTAGGCTTTGTCATTTGCCCCCATTGCACATATGAGGAAAACTAAGGCATGACGAGGTTGATTTGGCCAAGATTGTACAGCTGATAAGTAGTGGAGCTGGGATTAATGCCAAGCCGTGGCGTGCCAAAGCTGACATCCTTACTGGCTACACTAGTTACACCTCATCTTTGAAAATTCCTTCCAGCTCTCAAGACTGAGTTTGCACACCTGAGACATGGGGATCAGAAAGAGCCAAGAAGGTTAAGTGCCCAGCCTCAGTTCCATGCAGCTGGAACCCAGAGCATTGCCTTGTGTTTCTTTCCTGAAAGGCGTTAGGAGGAAAATTAGGGGACCTCAGGACAAGGATCCCAGGTGAGCGGGTTAGAAGGCTGCTTAGGGCCCCATGGTTGTCCTGAGGCCCCGAGGCCCTGAGGCCCTGAGGCCCTGAGGCCTGAGCTAGGATCCTGGAGCAACAGGAGGTGGCAGGTCACAGACCATGGCTTCTCTGCTACAGGTGGCAGCATCTACACAGTTTCTTCTGGAGTCGCCTGCTCAGCTTATTGGCCAACCGACTACCTGCTCCATCAGGTCTGGGTACCGGGCTTTGCAGTGCCAACTCTGTCCTCAGCCACCAAAGCCCAGCCCATCCAGCTCCATCTCCACTGCCTGTCTCCACCACCCTTCTGGAAAGTCTCCTGGGAGGCTGGACACCTATGTCCCCGGAGCCTGAGTCTTCAACCTCCAATCTATTTTTTTTCCCCTCACTCACTCAGTTTGCTGAGCGCTTAGTATAGGCTCTACTTGGTATCATCACAAAGCTTGTGCACTGGAGGACAAGTGAGGACACTGGAGGACAAGATGAAGCCCCAGCTACAGAGTTTCATGACGTGCTTCCAAGGGAGAAAGCTAGGAAACTATGGGAGGCCAGGGGAGACCTAACTCAGCCTGGAAACCAGAGATTTCCTGAAGGAGGTGATATTTGAATATTGAATATTTGATATTGAATTTAAGTAAGAGCCAAGCATGACACTGCTAGTCATCCATTCTCCCCTTCTTCCATACCAACAGCAGTGTCCCTACTTGGAAACATCCAGCCACCCCCCAGGGTACTGGGATGCTGGTGCCAGTCTATATCTTGACTTGGGTGACAGTCACATGGATACATACATTTGTAAAAACTTAATTCGTTTGTAATTTAAGGTTTACTATAAGACCATTATGCTCCAATTTTTTTTTAATTTTTTATTTATTTATGATAGTCACACAGTGAGAGAGAGAGAGAGGCAGAGACACAGGCAGAGGGAGAAGCAGGCTCCATGCACCGGGAGCCCGACGTGGGACTCGATCCCGGGTCTCCAGGATCGCGCCCTGGGCCAAAGGCAAGCGCCAAACCGCTGCGCCACCCAGGGATCCCTATGCTCCAATTTTTAAAAGTAAAAATTAATTTTTTAAAAATGTGTTTCCCTTGCAGCTAGGGATGACCATGCGACCCAGGACTGACCAGTCAGAAGTTTGGGGAAGTCTACTGGGGCGGGGGAGGCGGTTTCTCAGGAAGCCCTTGTTGTCCTAATGGATGAGACAGATCAGTCTTTTGCCCATCATCCATTTGCACTTAGTTCTTCTGGAACATGAATACTGCAGCTAGAACAGCTATCTGGTGACCTTGAGGATTATCTTAGGTGGGTTCCCTGGAATCAAATCTTAATTTTTTAAAAAAAGATTTTATTTACCTATTTGACAGAGAGAGCACAAGTAGGCAGAATGGCAGGCAGGGGGAGAGGGAGAAGCAGGTTTCTGGCCGAGCAGAGAGCCCAATAAAGGGCTCGATCCCAGAGTTCCAGGATCATGACCGAACCGCAGGCAGATGCTCAACCCCCTGAGCCGTCCGACACCCTGGAAGCAAATCTTTAGATGAAGATTCCTAAGACGGTGATGATTTGGAAATGATCTGGAAAAATGGGTCTGGCAGTGAAGTATACCAGAAAGAGGGGGAGGCCAGTACGGATGTGACAACAAGCAAAGTCCCACGGTGGGGGGGTTCCAGACATAAGAGTAGGTGACTCTTCAGAGTTGTCCCATGGAGCAAGAAAGCTGGAGCATTGATGTCTCTGTACCCCCTCAGTCATCAGTTAATGACTTCTGGATGGAGGACATAAATCCCCAGGCACTTCGGGTTCTCCCTGTAAGCAGGCATAGCGAGCTGCCGCAGCCTTCAAGAATCACTTTGACAAACAGATGCACATCACTGGCGGGAGAGAAAGCATCCCAGGAGACAGTGCACACAAAAGTGGCAAAGGGATCTGCGGGGCCATGGGCAACGCACAAGCCTCTGCTGCTGCAGGGGTGAGAGCCACACAAGAGCAGCAGAGGAGGAAAAGACAGAGAGCCTGGATCTTCGGCACCATTCCTGGGCAGCTGTGCCCAGACTGCCAGAAAAAGTCACTTCCTCCCCATTCAGGCCACTGGCTCACTGTGTGTTCTTGTAACTAAATTGAATCTTAACTGATATACTGGGTAAAGAAACGGCAGAAAGAGTTGTTCATGGAGAGGGAACAGCTTGTGCTACTTCTCACCACAGTTCTGAAAGGGAGGCATTGTTCCCATTTTACAGATGAGGAACATAAGAATCCACAAGGAGGCATCACTTGAATCATGATCCCACAGCAACTTAGTGGTAAAGGCAGGATGCAAACCCAGTGTATGTATTCTCTATTATTGTGTAGCAACTTACTGCACATGTAGTGGCTTAAAACAACACACATTTACTATTTCATAGTTCCTGTGGGTCAAGAATCCAGGCACAACTTTGTCAGGTCCTTACTTCAGGGGTTCACAAAGCTGATATAAAGTTCAGCCAGGGCTGAAATCATATGGTTGTTGGCAGAATTTCAGTTCCGTGAGGGTTGTAGGACTGATTTCCTCAGTTTCTAACTCACTGTTGGCCAGAAGTTGCCCTCAGGGCCTTGCCTTGCCAGCATGGCAACTTGCTTCAACAAAACCAGCAGGAAGTCCATCTTATGTTACCTAATCCTGGAAGCAACATCCTCTCACCTTTGCCACAGTCTGCTCATTGGAGGCACATCAGTAAATCCTGCCCATGCTCAAGGGGAAGAGATTACACAAGGACACGAATACCAGGAGGCAGGCATCACCGGACACACTCTAGCAACTGCCCACCACACCTAGTCTACTTATTAACAAAAATGTCTGTACTTTATGCAACATCAAGCTTACTCTTTAGGGTAGAACCTCATGGATTCAGATGGCCATTTCTGGCCAGGGACTGAAGGAGAATTTGGGGCACAGCTCATCCAAGGCACATAAAGGTTATGGATCCCCCCTTTAGCCTAAGAAGTCCATAATGGCCCTTTCCCCATTCCTATAACTCATGAATTAATAAATGAGGTGAGGACTATAGGATACTAGGCCCAAGGCGAGGTCTCAATAAATGCTGGTTGTTATCACTATTAATGATTATTATTTAAATACAATTATTAATGATTAATTAAATAAATTAATATTTGTGAAGTAGGAATTCTTTCTTGTATCCAGGTCCTGGTCTCCAGCACATTCTATCCAGTCTGACACACAGTAGGCACTCAATAAATGCTTGTGGATTAAGTAAACTTTTTTTTTAAAGATTTTATTTTTAAGTAATCTCTATACCCAACATGGAACTTGAACTCACAACCCTGATATCAAGAGTCAGATGTAATCCAGGCCCCCCTAGATTACATAAAACCCTTGAAAAAACTCTTTGATGCAGTTGTCCCTTACCATCCCAATGCACTGGGAAGGCAGAAATCAGGGACCCATGGCCAGGCGGGGAGACAGATCTTCTGAGGGGGCGAAATATCTGCTTCAAGTTTCACAGCCCAGGGGGCTCTCGGGAAATGAGGCCATCTCCTCCAGATCCCTAATGCAGATCTCCACCAGCAGTCCTGGAAGACAAGAGTTGCAATCCCAAGTCCACAGCACCAAGCTAAGTGACCTGTGCAGGTGACTAAGCCTCATCTGTCCCCATCAAGTCTGCAGCAGGAATAACTTGGATAAGTCCCCTGAGGTGAAGTACCTGGCACATACTAAGGACGCAATTAAGGAAGGTATTATTACTGCCGTTATTGTTGCTTTGTCAGCAATGCTCTGGCTAAAATCCTTCTCTCGCTGGACCCCCTTCCCCTAAACGACCGCTCGTCCACTGGTCCCAGACTGGGGAGGATGTCCTGGCTCTCGGGCCCAGTCTCCAGACACCACCCCCACCCAATTGAGGAGTCAGGAATAGAAATCACAGCCTCCGGCAGCCTGCGGTCTCCCTCCCTCCCTCGGCAGCAGCGATCGATGGATGTGGCCTCCGCTGCGGGGGGACAGAGGAAGACAGGGAAGGAGGGGGCGGCGGGGCCTCCAGCAGCAGCGAGGCTCTGCGGGGCAGCAGGGGCAGAGACGAGCCCGCTGGCCAGCGGCTCCGCAGCCTCAGTGCCTTCGGGGACAGGGGACAGAGAGCCTGGCCCGAGCCCTGGAGGGGCCCTGACAGGTAAGGGACCTCTCTCGGGGAGGGGGGGGTGGCCCAGGAAGTGGTGGGGGCTGCAGAGTTGGTTCCTGCGCATGCCCCCTTGGTGAGACCACCCCCCACCCACCTACCCACCCAGGAGGGAGCACTGTGAGGTGACTGAGTTCTAGGGTCAGTCCTGCTGGTTCATCCATAAAATGGGATTAGAAAACCTCCCTGGCAGGGTTGGTGTAGGCATTAAACTGAGTGAAGTGTATATGGAGCCCTGGGAAGTGACTAGTACTTAGTAGTTGTTCAAAATAAGTGTGTGGAGAGAGCCTTGGATGGAAAAGCCTAGTTTCCAACCTTAACTGTGCTGTGGACTAGCTGGGTAACATTGAGCAAGTCATTTAATCTTTCTTACTGAGATTCAGATTCTTGTTGGGGAAGGTTTGTGGAATTAATTATCCCAATTAACAGAGCAAGAGGGTGAGTCTCAGAAAGAGAAAGGATTTGCCCACAGTCATGCAGCTAAGGGGTGATGCAACTGGGTTGGACGTTTCATCTTTTGACACTAAGTGCGGAGGAGGAGGTGGGAGCGGAGCTGCATCCCCCCCGTACCCCAGGTGTTTACTGCACACGGAGTATGTACCGGGGGCCAGCGTGCTGCCTTAGTTAATCCTCATAACCTCTTGAGGAAAGTGTGATGCCCCCAGTTTACAGATGGGGAAAGGGAAACTGAAGCTAGGAATGGATCCTCTCAAGGCCACCAGTAAGAGACAGACTCAGAATTTGAACCCAGGTCTGACCAGAAGACAGTGCAAAGGATTGGCATTTATTGAGCACCTTACCGTGTTCTAGGGGCTTTGCACACACACTCATAGTGTGTGCACCTTCCACCCCAAGTGTTATTCTCCCTCTTCTACAGATAAAAGAGCCAAAGCCCAGAGTGGGAGGAGACCGGCCTGAGGACACAGAAGTGACAGAGCTGAGGACACGACCCTTATCCTGACCAGCTTAACTCCAAGCCCAAGGTAAGTGAAGGGCACCTCACTGACTCCCTGCCAGGCACGGGGCCAGCTGCTTGATGTACACCCAATCCCCCATCACCCTGGGAAGCAGGCATTACTGATGGGATGGTGCAGATGGGCTTACCCAGGATCAGGAGGTGAGTCACTAGCCCTCAGCTCCAGCAGAGCTTGGAGACGTGGGCAGGGGAGGGATCTGACATTTTCTGGTATCAACAAGGCCAAGCACTTTCCACAAGCTACTTTAGTTCTCCAGCCTGCCTTGAGGGTAGGTGCTGTTGTCTGCATGGTGCATTGCGTAGGAAACGAGGGCCCAGGGCCCGGAGAAAAGCATCTTCTTCAAGGCCCCAGGTGCATCCAGGGTGGAGATAAGTGCCAGGTTTGGCTGACTCCAGGAGACAGTGAAACAGATGGATAATTTACTTTGTGAGAGCCAGGCCCCATAAATACAATAGTTCATTTATTCTTTTTAACCACACTCGGAGGTGGCTATTTTTATCTCCACTTGACAGAAGTTCAGGGAGGTGATATGAGTTGCCTCTCTGGTCACAGAAGAAAGTCAATGTCCCATCTGACTCCGCAGATGCCTTAAATGGTCTGAGCCAGTGACTCTCAAACTTGACCATGCAGCAGAGTCACCCTCCACCTTTGCCGAGCTCCGTCCCCAGAGTTTCAGTAGGTCTAGAGCAAGCTGAGAATCGGCATCTTTGACAAATACCCAGGTGGCACTGATGCTGCCAGTGCAGGGGAGGGACACACTTTAAGAACTACTAGTTTGTATCGATGCTTTTGACACCCCTGGAGGGTCAGCATCACTACCCCCATTTTGCAGAGGAGGAAACCGAGGTTCAGAGTGCCGGCATGTCCAAGATCCCATTGGAAGCCCCTGGCATATGAAAATCCAAGTTTGGGGGCAGCCCGGGTGGCTCGGCGGTTTAGCACCTGCCTTCAGCCCAGGGCGTGACCCTGGAGACCCCGGGTCGAGTCCCACGTCGGGCTCCCTGCAGGGAGCCTGCTTCTCCCTCTGCCTGTGCCTCTGCCTCTCTCTCTCTCTGTGCCTCTCATGAATAAATAGATAAAATCTGAAAAAAAAAAAAAAAAAGAAAAAATCCAAGTTTGGGAAAGGGCGATACCCTAGCTGAGCACCCCCCACCCCCCTCGGGGGGTGTCAGCCTCTCCCGCCAGTCACTTTCATAATTCCCCCCAATTTGTGCAAATGAAACGGGGGTGCGAGGCTCTGTGATTCGGCGGGTCGGGGAGCGAGGGGCAGGCCCCGGGCCGCCCCCACCCCGCGCCCGCGCCCGCGCCCCCTCCGCTGAGCATCCCCCCCCCCCCGTCCGTCCACAGGCCATGGTGAGCGAGTCCCCGGAGCCCGGCGCGCGTGCGCCCTGGCGGCGGAGCGGCGAGGCGCTGCGCGTGAACGTGGGCGGCGTGCGGCGGCGGCTGAGCGCACGCGCCCTGGCGCGCTTCCCGGGCACGCGGCTGGGCCGCCTGCAGGCGGCGGGGACGGAGGAGCAGGCGCGGCGGCTGTGCGACGACTACGACGCGGCGGCGCGCGAGTTCTACTTCGACCGGCACCCGGGCTTCTTCCTGGGGCTGCTGCACTTCTACCGCACCGGCCGCCTGCACGTGCTCGACGAGCTGTGCGTCTTCGCCTTCGGCCAGGAGGCCGACTACTGGGGCCTGGGCGAGGGCGCGCTGGCCGCCTGCTGCCGCGCACGCTACCTGGAGCGGCGGGTGGCGCGGCCGCGCGACTGGGACGAGGACAGCGACACGCCGAGCAGCGTGGACCCGTGCCCCGACGAGATCTCCGACGTGCAGCGCGAGCTGGCGCGCTACGGGGCCGCGCGCTGCGGCCGCCTGCGCCGCCGCCTGTGGCTCACCATGGAGAACCCCGGCTACTCGCTGCCCAGCAAGCTCTTCAGCTGCGTCTCCATCGGCGTGGTGCTGGCCTCCATCGCCGCCATGTGCATCCACAGCCTGCCCGAGTACCAGGCCCGCGAGGCGGCGGCCGCCGTGGCCGCGGTGGCCGCGGGCCGCGGCGCGGAGGGCGTGCGCGACGACCCGGTGCTGCGGCGCCTCGAGTACTTCTGCATCGCCTGGTTCAGCTTCGAGGTGTCGTCGCGCCTCCTGCTGGCGCCCAGCACCCGCAACTTCTTCTGCCACCCCCTCAACCTCATTGACATCGTGTCGGTGCTGCCCTTCTACCTCACGCTGCTGGCCGGCGTGGCGCTGGGCGACCGGGGCGGCGCGGGCGGCGAGGACCTCGGCGACCTGGGCAAGGTGGTGCAGGTGTTCCGACTGATGCGCATCTTCCGCGTGCTCAAGCTGGCGCGCCACTCCACGGGGCTGCGCTCGCTGGGCGCCACGCTCAAGGTGAGGCCGCCCGCTGGGGCCGGATGGAGGGGCGGGGGGGGGGCGGGGGCGGAAATGGGGACGCGACGGTGACCACGGGGCGGGTGGCCAGGTGAACTTAGAGGCGACCTTCCTTGTGCCAGACGGGGGCTGCACACCAGGCGCACCGGTCACATCCCGTTTGACCTTCCCAACAGCCCTGGGAGGGCTCCTTCTCAGGGGTGACACTTGAAAGCCGAGGCAGAGCTTTGCTTTTCTTTCTTTAAAAACAAGAACCTAAGACAAAGGTTACTTTTGGTCTATGCGGGATGCTAACTGGCTTCTTCGCTGAGCCCTACTTCTGGCATTATGGGCAGGCTGGGGCGGGGGGCGGGCACAGATATTGTCGGTCACCCTTCACGGGCCAAGGCCAGCCGCAGCCCCAGAACTAACACTTTTACTGAGGGCTCATTCTGTGCCAGTTCTACATCCATTATTGATTTCATTCTCAGGACAACTTCCTCAGGAAGATGTGGTTATTTATTCCCTTCCCGTAGATGAAGCACCCGCGGTCAGAAAGTTGGCTTTGTAAAGCCTGGTTGCAATTTCCAGAGCACCCTTCTGGTGCCAGGCCCTGCACTCGGGGGTGAATCACTGCTCCGGCAAGTTTACCCTTGAAGGGGTGAACTTGGCCTGGTGTGGGGACGGAGGGAACGTGAACAGCTTGGATGAAGGCCTGGAGAGAGGACAGGATGAACACTGGGAGGGGACTTGGCAGGAGGGGTGCCAGTTGATGAAGTTGAAGACGCGAGTGGGACGGGGTCCTGAAGGGCCATCATGCATTCTTGGCCCAGGATTTTGAATTTTATCCCAAGGTAATAGGGAATAGAGCCTGTGAGGGGTTCAAGCTGGGGCAAGGATTATTGTCACTACTTTGCAGATTGTACTGCAAAACAAGGCTCCGGGAGGTGACAGGACTTGTCGGGGGTTCCTCAGTAAGTTGCAGAGCCCAGAGAAGAACCCAGCTGTGCCTGACCCCAGCACCTCCTGCCCTTTCTCCTAAAGCTCCTAAGGATCCCTAGGAGACCCTTGCCACCCATAGCTTTGTAAAGCCTTTTAATGCCCTCGTAGCAGGGCAGCCAGGATGCCGGGTGCAAGCAGGGTGATGTGAGCAGAATCCTGGGCCAGTGGGCAGGTACAAGGAATTCACATCCCTGAACTCAGTATCTCTCCAGCAAAGATCCTCCAGCCATGCAGGGAACTAGGGCCTGATGCCACCAGATTTTTCTGCAGGGAGGGAGAAGAGTGTTGACTGAGGCTGCCAGTGTCCAAGACACAGGTGAAGACTCGCGGCTGCTCAAAGGGAGGCCCCTGACCAGCAGCAGCTTTCTCATTACCTGGAGGCTTGCTAGAAATTCAGAATTTCTGGCCCTATCCGAGACCCACTCAGTTGAGTTCTGCCTTTTAAACACGATCCCAACATGATTCCTCCACATATTACAGTTTGGGACTAGGAAACTACAGTTCCAGACTGGGGGTCTTGGCCTCAGCACTGCTGACATCTAGGGAGAGATAATACTTTGTTGTTATGTGTGTGGGTGGAGGGTGGCTCTCCTGTGCATTATAGGATATTTAGCAGCATCTCTGGTCTCTATCCAGTAGATGCCAGTAGCACACCTGTCCCAGTTGTGAAAACCAAAATGTTTAGACATTGCCATATGTTGGAGCACCTGGGTGGCTCAGTCGGTTAAACCTCTGCCTTTAGCTCAGGTCATGAACCCAAGGTCCTAGGATCGATCCTCCACACTTACGTGAGCACATGCTCTCTCTCAAATAAATAAATAAAATATTTTAAAAAAACCAAACAAACAAACCAGGGACACCTGCGTGGCTCAGTGGTTGACCATTTGCCTTTGGCTCAGGTCGTGATCCCCGGGGTCCTGGGATGGAGTCCCGCATTGGGCTCCCCACAGGGAGCCTGCTTCTCCCTTTGCCTATGTCTCTGCCTCTCTGTGTCTCTCACGAATAAATAAATAAATAAATAAATAAATAAATAAATAAATAAATAAATAAATAAAATCTTTAAAAAAAAACAAACCCAAAACATTGCCAAACATCCTCTGGAGGGCAGATTGCCCTATTTGAGCACCACTGCTTGGCCTCAGGGGCAGAGCAGATACTTATACCCATGGGCAAGTGCGTCCAGTGGTTGGTCTGGGGAACATATATCCTGGGAGCTTTCCTGAGAGGCAGAATGTATTTTTGTACTTGTCAGAAATGAGATAGACAAAAGTACATTAAATGAACCCTTTACATTGTGGAATACAAACTATGGTTGTCCCTTGTGTAAAAATCACAAGCTTGTTACTAACTGGCTGGTGCTGCTAGATCCCCCTGCATTAGAAGAAACCACTGTGACTTAGCAGGGATTTTGGACAATGGAAGGTAGGCCTGTGTGCGCTCCCAGGGAGTTGGCTGCCTCTTGTGGTTGAAAGATCTTAGTTTGGAGTCAAGGGACCCGGGTCTCGATGCCAGCTCTACTTTGCTCTGTGACTTTGGACCTGCCCCTTCCAGTCTCTGGGCCTCAGTTTCCACATATGCTTGATTTCAGGTCTTTGAGGCCACCCAGCTCTGACTTGGCTTCCTACGTTCTCTTCCAGCACAGCTACCGTGAGGTGGGCATCTTACTGCTATATCTGGCAGTGGGGGTGTCCGTGTTTTCCGGCGTGGCCTACACAGCTGAGAAGGAGGAGGACGTGGGCTTTGACACCATCCCCGCCTGCTGGTGGTGGGGCACGGTGAGCATGACCACCGTGGGCTATGGGGATGTGGTGCCTGTGACCGTGGCTGGCAAGCTGGCAGCCTCAGGCTGCATCCTTGGGGGCATCCTGGTGGTGGCGCTCCCCATCACCATCATCTTCAACAAGTTTTCTCACTTCTACCGCCGCCAGAGGGCTCTGGAGGCCGCCGTGCGCAACAGCGACCCCCGGGAGTTTGAGGACTTGCTGAGCAGTGTCGATGGGGTGTCAGAGGTGTCTCTGGAGACCTCCCGTGAGACCTCCCAGGAGGGAAGGTCTATAGACCTGGAGGCCCAAGCCCCCAGTGGGCCTCCAGACTCTCAGGTTTATTAAAGTCAAGGCCTGGTGTCCCCCTTCCCACACCCCCTATGGTCAGCTGAAACAGCAGAGATCCCTCCCTGCTTACGGCGTTCATGGTGGCAGAACTGCTCAGGATCACCCACCCAGGCCTGAGGAATGAGACCCAGGGGCTACGTCTGTTCCTCCAAAAGGTCCAGGCCAGGATAGTGTTGCCCAGATTCCGTGAGCAACCCAGTGGACTTCATAAATGGACCTCCAGGCTACCCAAGAAGCAGGCATGCGCCAAAGAGAAAGACAGAAGGATGCTAACCGTTCCTGAGCACCTCCAGCCCTTCACATTCGGCCCTGAGTCAGAGGAGGAGAAAACTGAGGCTCGGAGTGGGGCCAGGACTTGCCCAAATGTCACCCAACTGGAGGGGGTAGAGCCCAATTTGGAATCCAAGCTCGTTGGTCTGCCAAGACCAGTGTTCCTTGCATGCTGTCTCTCTTCTGCCCTCATGAAGTTTGCATGTGGCTTGAGGGGATTCTCTGGATCTCCAGAGTTCATCCATAGGGTTCAAACTCTCTATCAGAGTTAGGGAAAGGACCAGTCAGGGATTCCGATGTAGGAGTCCTGTACCTTAGCAGTGGTTCTTTTCCAGAAGTTTCCAACAAGAGTCAGCTCTCAAAGATGAGGTCTGGGAGGAAGGAGAGGAGCTGCCTCCTTAGCTGGTGTATAAAATTTGCTAAGCAGTAGTCCTGCAGCTTCCTTGAGCTACAGATTTTGAAGGGGCCCTGGTCTGTGGCCTGAGGTCTAGACCCAGCTCTCCTAGGATCATGACGTGTGAAGTGGGCATGCCCCTGGCCCTGTCTCCAGATCTCGGCCCATCTGTCAGATGGTCACAGTCTGCACCCCAGATGGAGATGGAAGCCAGATGTGTAGCAGGGAATTACTGATTTAAAGCCAGCCCAGTTCTGAAATGTTGGTAGCAGGGAGTTGCTATGCATGGACACTTGTGACCCCCGGGTTCCCCCAGTCTGACTTCGGCAATTCTCTTCCCACCATGCAGACCTCGAGCCCTACCTTGAGTTACTATCCAGGCAGATGCTGGGGACCTCTGCCCCCTTCCACCAGCTCCAGCCACCTCATCCTTGCTGGGGGCACATCTCTCACACTCACCTGCTCAATCCTCTACTTGGTGAGAAATTTGGGAGGGAAGGATTCCCCTAGCCCTATTCACACACTGTTCCTAGAACACCTGTTACTGTACTGTCCTTGCCTGGCTACGGCTCTGTCTGTCCCACCAGGCTGAGCTTCAACATGGAAGACATCATCTGGTTGAACCGAGACTTGGGAGGAGAAGGTATTTAGTGATACCTACTAATGGATCCACCAATTCATCCAGCGTACTGCGTGCCGAATGCTGGGCAGGCAGAGGAAATGACCAGCAGAGAGGTCTTGCCCTTGAGAGGCTGTAGACAAGAGTGAGCAGAAGATTCTCCTGGTTCTCCCCCGCCATTCTTCTTACATTATGAGGCTTTTACAGTGATTTCCTTGTAGGTTCTTCACTCATTCGTTCAACAACTATCTTTTGGAAGACTCACAAGCTGGGGCTTCATGTGTGGCCTGTAGACATGTTTCATTTAGCTTCATTTTCATTTTTCTCTTCTCTTTGTGTATATATAAGTGTGTATTTTTTTAAAGTTATCTCTACACCCAACATGGGCTCAGACTCACAAACCGTGAGATCAGGAGTCACATGCTCTACTGACTGAGCCAGCCAGGTGCCTCTTAGTATGTATTTTTTTAAATTTGAATGCTTTTGTGTGAGGTACATACTGTCACTGCCCCATAATGTGCCCCCGACACACACAGAACACTACTGTGGTAGTTCTACCACTTCTCAGATTTACTTGACACACCTGGGCTCTGAGTCATTGACTGCTGGGTTCACAAGGTATAATGGGGAACAAAATATATGTCTCTGTATTCGTGAAGCTTACAGACTAGTGAGGGAGATGGGATTTTAATCCAATGGACACAGAAACCTGTAACAGCTGGGCTAAGTACAGGGAACTAGAAGCACATAATGTAGCAGGGACCATTAAGGGGGTCAGAGGAGGCTTTCTTGAGGGTGACATTTTAACCTATGGTCACACAGATGCACAGTTAATTAGGCAGTGGTTCCAGGAAGTGTTTCCAAGCAGGGGGCACAGCATGGGTGCATGCATTGTGTAGACCCCCACGTGTGGATGGAATCTGAGTCTCAGGACGAAGCAGAGGCAGAGCTGAGCTGGGAGTGCTGCTTGTGACTCCCCAAGTACCAAGTACACACTGGCCCTCTCGCATGCTCCCCTTGTAACGTCTAGGCCCAGCTCTGCCTAGGCCGGGGCACAGAGAGGGGAGGGCTGCACGCACCACCCTTGCCGAACTGCGGAACATCCCAAGGTGCCAGATAGCTTCCAGACTTTCTGACCCCACAGACAAGACCCCAAAGGTAGTGCAGGGAAAGCTCGGGGGGAGAATCATCTGGCCTGCATCCATCACCAGGTTATGTGTTGTCCTGGCAGAAAAGTGACAACTCGCTCCCACTCCCATGTGTCAAAACCATTATGCAAATAAAGAGGTTGGGTCCAGGGACCTGCTTCTGCCTGTACTGGAGCTGGCTGCCTGGCGTGCTTTCAGGGTGAATGGGGCGGGGCGGGGCGGTGGGGGAGTGACTCAGAATCCAGATTCTCTCGTTCCAGTCTTGGGTTTGGCACAGGTTGCCAGTGACAGGAATCCAGCTGGAACTAACTTGGTCAAAAATAATAATTCATTACAGGTAACTGCAATGATGAACAAGTTACCATTAAGGTTATTTGCTTACAAGCAATAGAAACTATCTGAGACCCCTGGGTGCACAGCAGGCTGAGCGTCCAACCATGGTTTTGGCTCAGGATCATGAGATCAAGCCCCGTGCTGGGCTCCAGCTCAGCAAGGAGTCTCCTGAGGTTTCTCTCTCCCTCTCCCTCTGCCCTTCCCTGCACTTTCCCTCTCATTCTTTCTCTCTAAAGTGAGTAAATCTTTTTTAAATATTAAGAAAACCTATCTTACAAAAGAAAATTATTGAAAGGTGTATTAGTTTCCTGTGGCTGCCATAACGAAGTGCTATTTAACCTGATAGCTTAAAACAATAGAAATTTCTTCTCTGATGAGTTCTGGAGGCCAGAAATCCAAAGTCAAGGTGTCAGCAGGGCCACACTCCCTCCAGAGGCTCCAGAGGTGAATCTTCTTGCCTCTTCTAGCTTCTGGTGGCTGCTGGTGTTCTTGGCTTATGGCCACATCCCTCCATTCTCTGCCTCTGTTATGATGTCACTTTGTCCTCTATATGTGCCAATTGCCCAGTGCTACTCTCTCATAAAGACTTGTGTGATGTCACTAGGGCTCACCCAGCTAATCCGTGCTTTCTTATCTCAAGACTCTTAAGCTAATCACATCTGCAAAAAGATCCTTTTAATGAATACGGTAGCATTTACAGAGATTAGGATGTGGATGTATCTATGGGGCCACCATTCAGCCCACTGCAGAAGGGTATCAGCAAAGTTCATCCAGTCAAAGGAAAAGCTAACTGAGCAGGCCTCAGGATATGCAGGGATGAGGGGAGCTCTAGGGCCATCAGTGGTGGGACTCATGAATCTTCCGTTGAGGACACTCCCAGCCAAATGCTCCCCTCCAACTCCCCTCAGCTCCAGTGCCAGCTGAGAGATTGATTTGCCCAGCTCGTGTCACATGCCTCTCCCTTGGTAGAGATGGAGGGCAGGGCACCTGGATTAACATCTGCAACAGACCACATGGGATGGAAGAAAGGTAGTTACCCAAAGAAAAGGCCATGTGACATCACCAAAATAAAGGAGGACATTTTTTTGGCAAACTAGCAGGTGTCACTGCATTCTGACCCTTGGCCGCCCAGCACACAATATGCTCACTCTTTCTTCCCAGACAGTTTAAAAAAAAAAATACGTTTCTAACATAAGGAACCTATCATATATATAACCTAAAGCACACTTTGTGCTCTCCAGGCCCTATTAATGTGATTTAATCAGTGTAGTGGATCAATTTGGTATCTTGGGGATTAGGACAATCAAAGTCTTTCTGGTGCAGAGCTGGCGAACTAAGGTATCTCTGAGTTGAATAGTAAAGAAAAACCGTTATCCCTTCCAACTAATAGCAAAATGCTTCCAGTGATTTCTGTTTCTTGGAATAGAAAAGGAATCCAATAGATGCATATGAGCTCCAGGAATTATACCGAGGTAAGTGTGTCTAACCAAGCAACTGAAATTGAATTGCCCCTTGATTAAAATAGTCCACTGCCATTTTCCAAGACACATCTACTTTTGCACCAGCCAAACGGGAAGTAATGGTGTTCTGATGGGAGTCATCACCCTCCAGGGTCTTTGGCGGAGGGTTGTCTCTGCAGTCTCCCCAAAGGTGCGGTACTGCTTTGAGTGTTCTGTTTCGAAACAGTTGTTCACTTGGATTCTATTGGCCTTTTATTTTATTTTTTTAAAGATTTTATTTATTTATTCATAGACACAGAGGGAGAGAGAGAGAGGCAGAGGGAGAAGCAGGCTCCATGCAGGGAGCCTGACATGGGACTCGATGCCAGGTCTCCAGGATCACACCACATGCTGCAGGCGGCACCAAACCGCTGCGCCACCGGGGCTCCCCTCTATTGGCCTTTTATATTACAAAGGCCTCCCTGGGTCAGGGAGCCAATGTGGGGATCTTTTCCAACTATCACTCAGAAATTGGAGATCTAGCCCTCCAGTCACATAGACAAAGTTCAAAATACTATTTTTCACATGGTTGATGGACCTATGGTGGTACTCTCAAGACCCAAGAAATTGGTATTAGCTCAAAGTTCTTCATCCAAATCGTCCCTGAATGGTTTGGGTGTTTCCCTTTCTTCAGCACCCAGTTACCCCAGTAAATGGCCACAGGCCCTTTTGGAGAAGACAAGAGAAATGTTCACATTACACTGGTGTGAGAGTATAGCAGAGACCTTCCCTAA